AGTAAACTTATAGCGAAGTGATTAAAGATGCCCTCTTATCAACGTCTGTAAAGCAAAGGAAAACTGAAGTCAGACTGGAAGCACAGTCGCGGTTCCAAATAGCAATGGGTCCACTTAATGACCTAGTTGCTGGTCCCAACTATGGTCGCTAAATGAGGCCTACCTGTATAATTTTCTTAGCACTTTGGCGCATTCAACTTCCAGAATGCCTTTTCTCACTTCCCAATTTAGCTTACACAACTGGGATCTCCAAGGCAGTCTTCCATCCAAAATCATGCAGGTCCGATCCTGCTTAGTTTTTGAGCTAAGAACAGCCAACTTCTGGATCCCACCAAGAGGTTGCATTACTTCAGTCAATCAGTCAATTCATAGGTCTGCCCAACTCACAAGTGAGTCTAGACAGGCAACATTGGGTTAAAAGCAAGTGAGCGAAAAAGAAAAACAAAGTAAATTTAAAAAAAAAAATACAATAATGCATCTGTGGTTAATCACGGTAACTCTTTCCCCTTCACAGAATGGGCTTGTGGAGCATCCTGCCCAAAGTGCAGAAGAAAAGCCAGCTTTCCAAAGCCTTGCAGAAGGCAGCAGAGTCAGGGCCATCTCAATCTTGGGGGATACGTTGTTCCATAGGGTGAGTGGTGTGACAGAGAAGGCACGCTTTCTGGGTCCTATCAGATGGTGCTGTTTCACAGAGGGACCTAAAGCAAGATGCTGGTGGATCTTGGGGACAGCCAGAGACGCTTGAGGCAGGCAGTACTGCAAATAACCCAATCCTGTGCCATGAAGGACTTTATAGGTAGTAACTACCACCTTGAATTGCACCTGGAAGCCACCTGGGAGGCAGCACAGCTTGCAAAGTAGTGATTCACCCTAACTACTGAGCCATTGCCTTCTGGACTAGTTGGAGCTTCCAAGATAGCCCCATGTAGAGTGCATTGCAAAATTGGAGGAGGGGGGAGGTGATCAAGGCAGAAGGGACCATGAGCAGGGCTTCCTGATCCAGGAACAGGAGCAATTGGCACACAAGGTGGGTTGATGCAAAGGCTCCTGGACAATGGCTGCCCCTTCAAGTAGAAATCAAGTGTTCAGGAGGACCACCAAGTTGTGCACCAGTTCTACCTGGGGGAGTGCTACCCCACCCAGTATTAAAGATGGAAGATCTCCAATTCTGGGGGGCCTAAGACCCACAGCCACACAATCTTGCTAAGGTTAAGCCAAAGCCTGTTCTCCCCATCTCCCAGCCACACTGGAAGGAACCTTGATGGCATCACTTGATTGGTCCAGGGTAGAGATGTATAACTGGGTATCACCTGCATACTGATACTTAACCATGTGCCCAGAGATGACCTTGCTTGGAAGGTTCGAATAAAGGCCTGAGGAGCCCCACAGAGCAGAGTTCTTGGGCCAGATTTTTCCCCTTCCCAGTTCCGCCTGGAACTGACCCTGGAGGAAGGAGAATCACTGCAACACTCCGCCCTCTATTCCCAGCCCCCTAAGCTGGTTCAGAAGGCTATCATGACTGATGGCACTGAAGGCTGCTGAGAGATCAAGAAGGGGCAGGATGGATGCATCTGTCAGGATCTACGCAAGCCAGAACCTTCAATTGTTTTTATTGCTTTTGCTTTTATTGCTAAGCATAGATGAATAGTAGAAC